TTTTGGTGAGGGAAGAAAACAGTCCCATCTCCCTTGGTGCTAAAGCAGGCAGGGCTGGGGGTTCCTAAGTTTCCTGTGGGCCAGAGCATGTCCTGAGAAGGTACCTGGGGCAGACGCCTGCTCACGGGCACCAACACAGCCTCCCTGCCAACACACGCACCCCACCTGCCAAGGCCACCCAGTGAGCAGAGGGTCCCCGAGTCAGTGAGGGGTTCCTGGGAGAAAGGGTTGTGCCCCAAGAGGAATTCCACAGCAGGAAGCCACAGCGGGGATGCTCAGCTGGGTGCATGAAGGTCCCAGAATGCACCAATTATACCGTGAGAATGGAGTGATAAGTGGTGCTGGGTTAACAGGTTATCCATTTGGAAAAGGAGTCAGGAAATTCCAAGTATATCCCTGAGACAACCCTTTAAGTAGAAAGGTATGAAAGAATTAGGAAACCATATAGGAGACTCCTTTTGTAATTGGGAAGTGGGGAAGGCCGTCCTAAGCCACACGCAAAAGCAAGAGGCAATAAGGGAAAATGAGCCTTCAGGGGAAGAGGAGGTCGTGAGTAAAGTGAAGGGGGAAGTGACAGAGTGTAAGGTGATCCATGCAGCATGAGGAGCAGACAAGGGACTGACTGATGCCCCACAGGACTGTGCTGCAGTGCCCATCACATCTTAGACCAACCGGTGGCCGCTAGGAGGAGGTGGGGGGCAGTGCTGCACACAGCTGTCACACTCCTAGCCAAAAGGTGCTGTGGTGGCCCAGCGTAGAGACCGACTTGGTGAGGGCTGTGCCTGTCCCTGGTGACATTTCAAAGTGAGGGGATCGTGGTTGAAACTGCTCTGAGAGTGGCACTAAGGGCCCCCGTGGGGATGCATTGTGTGAGACTGGGTGTACCAGCTGGGAAGCTGGATGTCTGCAACCTTGCCTGCACTTATGGCAGGGAGAGGTGCAGTGGGGGGTCAAATAACAAAATTCCCAGGAGATGTAGCAGGCTGGGAGTTAGTGCAGAGATCAGTACCTACAGGCACAAAGTGTAGACAAGATAATGAGATGAAGAAGAAGGGAATCCAAGGCCCTTTCTGGAGCTGGAGGGCAGTCTGTGGAGGCAGTTCCAGATTTACCAAAGAGACAGCTTCGGCTAGGGCGGCCCCATCAAGGCAGGCATCTCCCCACAGAGTGTGACAAGCTCAAGCTTTGATGACCTTGTCTAATGTTTGCCATGGGGAAACCTGGCAAGAAGCTCATTTGGTTGCAGAAGAGAGGTGGGTTAGTTTGTGCTTGGTGGTCCCCTGCTGTTTCATTTTTGAATTAAGCATGGGCGGAGGCACCTTAGTCTTTCCAGTGCTGAAAGCCTCTGAATGTCTTAATCAGGCCCTGACTGGCAGGCATGCGCCCCGCCCCCTGCGCCCCCCCTCCACGCCCCCCTCTGAAGTCCCCCTCCGCACCCCGGTAGTAGGCAGAACTGGGCTCCTGCCCTGGCACAGCAACCAACAAAGGGATGAAGGGCAGACCAGAGCCCTGTGCTTCCACACGCAGGGAGTGTTTTCGGGAGGGCAGTGCCAGCAAATGGAGAAGGGGCTCTTGACTTGGGCCAAGACCACACCGTGGAGACACATCAATGCTGGCAGGCTGCCCTGTGACAGAATTGCTCAGGAGATGGGCAGAAGGTCTCCGAGGCCCTCCCTGCGATAGGAGTCAGCTGTGGCCTGAAAGTGCCAAATGCCTGCCTCGGAGATGGTGGACCTACTACCTGTGGCAGGACTCAAAACGGGGGACTCGGCAGAGTGCAGAGCAGGAGGGAAGCACGTGTTAATTTGGGACCCCGAGCCAGGAGGAAGGAGAAATGCTCTGCCTTTGGGCTGAGATTACAGAGGCTGAGCAGTAAGGTGTCGCTGAAGACACCATCGGCCAGCAGGCTCCACTGGGACAAGTGGATGCAGGGCTGCCCGCAGGGCAATCCTGCGTGGGAAACAGACTGCCCAGCCCACCTGAGGCTGGCTTGGGAGAAAGGGGGGACCACGTTAGCAGCTCTTTGGAAACAAGACAGAGCCCCAGAGCCAGCAAACAAAGCCCCAGCGGGGTGAACGTTGCTGGGGGTGTGATGTTGCAGCAACCACAGTCACATGCTGGCCCATCAAGGCAGCAGGGCCTGGGAAGGGGCAGAGTCCCTGGCAGGCACCCGTGACTACTAGTCAGCCCAAACTGTGGGGTGGATGAGTACAAGCAGGAGAGTGGCAACCCACCTGCTCCCCAAACTCCAGGAGAAGGGAGGAAAAAATTGAAAAAAAAAACCTAAAAATTTGAAATAAAACTATGCTCTATATGGAGGAGGGCAGTCAGAAGGCAGAGCACTTGTACACAGCTGATGCCCAGGGAGCAGTGGCCCAGAGTCACATCCCAGGGAGACCAGGAGAGGGCACCGAGCTCAGAAGCAGCACCGCCCAAAGGAAGCTTCTTGTCCCTTCTGTTAGCCAGGGCTTTGAGGAAGAGAACCATTTCACGACACATCAGAAACACGCAGGGAACCTGGCTTTGGTGATGCAGGGGCTGAGGCTTGCTGGGAGGGGTCTGTAAATGTTGGGAGAGGGTGGTGGAATGAGTTGCCCAGATTCATGGAGTGGTTCGGTGTGCAGGGCTGTGTTCTTCCTTTCCTCCAAGGGGTGCCAGGGGCTTGGATGGAGGGCATGAATATGTCTCCTGATGGATGGACCAGCCATGGCCATGCCACGCCCCTCAGCATCTGCTCTCCCACCCCTTCGGGGATCCACGGAGGCCTCCACTGTCCCCTTCCTGGATCCCACAGAAGTACCAGGGATAGGGCAGAAAGGAGGTTCTGCCTTTCCTTGGCCAGAGGAAGCAACGGCCAAGCCTTTTCACTCGGCCAGGAATTTGAGCTTGGCATCCCAAGGAAGGGAGGGGGCCTGGAAGTAGGTTTCACAGCTGCTTCTCAGGAGAGAGAACAACACAAAGCAGGCACTCAGCAAGTAGCAACTGTTACTGCTATAACTGTGCACTAACTTGTGCAGGGATGGGTTGCCCTGTGGCCCCCAAGGATGTGTAGACAAAACCTCAAGCATACTGACCTTCCTCTCGAAGAGGCCAGCAGGCGAGGAAAGACAACTTCATCGAGGGAAGGATTCCTCTGCATCAGGCACTGTGCTGCCTGCTTCACAGGTGCTGTCTCCTTTAGTCCTCCCAACAGTCCTTCTTAATTCCACCCTCCACCCCATTCCCCTGCCCCCGCCCCGCCCCCAGCCCCTTCTGGAAGCTTATCCTGAACCCTGCAGCCCATCTCTTCCACTGCCTCCTGTGGGCACTGCTAGGCGGACATTCTTCAGGAGCAAACGCCCCAGTTAGTTAGCACTGATCATGTATTTTGGGCTTCCTCTTCACGCAGACTATAAACTCAAAGACAAGTACCATGTTCTCGTTTTTGCCAGCTAAAGCACACAGCTTTATTGGTGATACATAAAAATGCAGACTTGGTGGATGAGGCTGAGTCAGTACAACTCATAGAAGGGGAGTGTACATTTTTTGCTGAATAGGTTTACCATCCATAGGCTCGTGAAGAAAAGAGAGTAAATGAAAAAGAATTCAACCTACGCAGCAACCAATGCATTTTCGGCACAAGCTCCCATATGGGCCTGGTCTCCACAAGACGGTCCAGCTTAGACAGGGAGACCACCACAGGCAAGGCATCCCTTGTCGGGCTAGAAAATGTTGTCCTTTCACCACACAGCTGAAATGATCCCTTTACCACAGGAAGAAGGCCGCAAGGGAGCAATTTACAATGCGCACTGCCTGCAGACTGCAAAACCAAGAGGTTACTCAAAGCTCTGTGGGAGCCCCTGCCTGGCCAACAAGAGAGTGGTCCTGGATTTAGCAAGTGTAACTTTCACCCAGAGATATGGCTATTGGCTAAGGCTGGATCTTCAATAGCACCCACTGCAGAGTCTTTGATTGAGAACACAAGTGTGTGGTTCACTGATCGGGTTTTGGTTCGGGGTGGATCAGTCCCATCCTGTTGGAGGGGGCCATTTAAGAGGCCGGGATTTCTGGGAGAAGCTGTCTGTTTGCGTTCCTGATAAAGAGGGACAGGAAGGAGAGCAACATCTGGGCTCCCAGCAACTCCCCCGCCAAGACTGGCTTTTCAGACAAACCCATCAAGGGTTTCACAACGTGCCCCTCAGCACATTCACTTCCCTCTGGTATCAAAGGAAACTTCAAGTCTGAAACGGACTTGGCAAGCATGTTATTAATAACTGTCATGATTATTAACAAATTTAATCCGGCCTGCTGCAGAAATGAGTTGCAGCAAAGTGACACAGTCTCCCGACACACTTCGTTGATGTACATCTTAATCTGGCCCTGATTTTCAACACTGGCTTTCAAGTTATCCAGGGCACAGAAAGCCTCAACAGCAGGGTCGGGAATAGGGATCGTGTTTCCAGCAATGGAGAGGCTGGCCAAATGACTATTGATATCGTGGCTAAATGAAAAACCAGTGTCCCTGGGCTGAGCTAACAACACTTTTCCCTGAATGAAAGGGCACTTGGAGAGGCCAAGAACACAACTGAAATTTTCAATATCTTAAGCATCACTAAAAAAAAGTCCTCATTTTCATTAGTGAAAGAGTGATTTTTCTTCATTCAGACTCTTTCCTCTTTGAGAGGCCCTAGGTTCCTACTGCCCATATCTCATGTCAACCTCATCCCCAGGACTTGGCTTTTCCTGGATGTTTGAGTAAAGACCAGACCCCTTACCCATCCTTATCCATATGAAGTTCCCTACAATCCTGGTTGTTTCTCACTGTGGTTATATCCTCTTCTGATTATTGGATGAACACTGTAGCAACTTCTAGCCCTGACCTCCAGAACTGCTTTCACTAAATCGGCATTTCGAGCACACTCTATATCTGTGAGAAGTCACAGGAGGTTCTCAGTCTTTTAAAAGCTATCTAATTGTAGTGTTCTAGGTAGGAGACTGTTAGACGTTCTTTTCCTGGACACAAATTGCACTAACTGCCATCTGACAGGAAACTAGTGGAAATGCAAATACATAGAGCTTTCATATGAGTTTCCATAGATATACATGTCAATACTCAGGATACAAGGGTATCAGTATCTCTCTTTCCTGAGTTAGGGTCTTAACTTTCGAACGTTTCTCCTCTGGTATTTATCTCCCTTAAGCTCATTCCCACTGTTTCCTCAGAGGTACAGCATTTAACTTTTCCAGCACCCAAGTAAGAGGAGAGGAGAACAAAGACAAGGAGAGGTAGCTGAGTTGCCTCTAGACCCTGCATTTTGACTCCAACCTCCCTCCCCATCCCTATCTCCAAGAGATAACAATGTGTAGAGCAATTTCCTTCTTCCTTTGCCTAGATTTATGTCTACTTGTAGACACAGAAGAAAGGAGACTGGTAGATGTACAGGCACATATGTGTCCTCTCTCCAGAGTGAGAAGTCTGGCTTTCAAATGTCTCCCATTTAGGTCTTAGGCACAGCCCCTACCCTGCCCTCCAGACCCTTTCATCACCCCATCCTTCCCCCACAAATGCCCACCTTTTCCATTCCTCTGCGCCCCAGTCACCCTCTTGACCTCGGTTTCTTCCATCAAATGACCACTTTTCTGTTCTACCCGTCATTTCTGCTCTATAAACACTGCTTCCCCAGAGCCTAAAAGGATTGGGGTTAAGTAATGCTTTTCTGAAGGCAGGATAGTGAAAGAACAGGTTCTGGTTTTGGGCTTGCCTCTACCGCCACCTTGTGACCGGCCCAGGCCCCACGTTTCCTTGAAAGAACTCACTTCGGTTTCTACTAAACATCCTGTATGTAATGGGTTTCCTCTTCCTTTCCTTTGGGTTGTGCTGCCCCCTACAGACAGACAAGCTAACCAACAGATAAAGGTCTGTGAACATTTAGTGCAGGGTGTTAGGCCACAGTTCCTACCTTTTACTGATTCAAGACTGTCAAACGGTCCCCACCTCTCACTCCCAGATCCCAGCATCAGCTCTCCCCCCGACCTCATGCACCATTTAGAGAACTAAAATGAGCTGGTGGATAGCCGGAGGGTGTGGGGAAAGCTGACTCTGCCCCTTCAGGTCTCTGCTACCTAACTCCACCGCGACCCCAAGACTCCCCAGGCAATGCTCACTCTCACACCAACCTGAACACAATCAGAGAAGTTTCTTCCTTCTTCACTTGGCTACAAACACATCTCCCTGATATCAACAGGAAGCTGATGGCCGGACCAAAAAGACCACCTCTCCACAATTCTTGGTCACCTGAGATACGTCACCAATGAGCCAYGGTCCCCAAGTTTCTCTCCTACCAGTAGTGATGCAAGAGTATGCCCGCCCCTCTCCTTTCCCCCGCAGCACACCAGACCTGTCACTCATTTTTTCTTTGACAATCCTAGAGACCAAAAGATAAGGCATTTCCATTTTGTTGAAATTTGCCTTTCTCTAATTTCCAAGGAAGGAACCTATCTTCCCCTGGAGCAACTATTTCAGTTTATACTTCTTTATCTTCTCTTAGAATATAGGGCAACAGCCCATCTCTTCACTTCCCCTCCACTCAGCCGCTAATATCCATTATCTTTCTTGGACCCATGAGAAAGCACATTGCATGAAATAAGACATAGAGCAAGAGATAATTTAGATATTTATTGCCTCTGCTCATTTTCTTGGAAATACTGGCTTTTTATAAAGATTTGTACATGCTTTTATATGCATAAGGAGTGATGTTTGCCAAAATGTCGCCACTGGTTATTTCTGAGACATATATTTAAGGCATAATACATTCTAGGTATAGTGCCAACTGCTAAGGTCAATGGGACATGGAGATGAACAGACTTGTCTCTTAGTAAAGACCACCTGGTTTCTCAGACAGGCCCCCACAAGGCAGCATTTACCTTGCTGAGTTCACACACTCCAGGATCTAGATCTTAATTTTGTCTTCAGACTAAAAATATGCACAACTGGTGACCTTATGCACAACACAAATGCATACATATGTTCACCAAAAGACAAGAATAACAATATGCATAGTAGCACTGTTCATATTATCCCCAACCGGAAACAACTCAAATATCCATTAACAGTAGAATGGATAAATAAAATACAGTATATTCATAAATGTGGAGTATATTCATAAATGGCAATGAATACTATATATGCAACAGTATGGATTAATCTCACAATGTTAGCTAAAATAAAAAAGAGACAAAAGGGGCTTCCCTGGTGGCGCAGTGGTTGAGAGTCCGCCTGCCGATGCAGGGGACATGGGTTCGTGCCCCGGTCTGGGAAGATCCCACATGCCGCGGAGCGGCTGGGCCTGTGAGCCATGGCCGCTGAGCCTGCGCGTCCGGAGCCTGTGCTCCCCAACGGGAGAGGCCACAACAGTGAGAGGCCCGCGTAACGCCAAAAAAAAAAAAGAGACAAAAGAATACATGCTGTGTGACTTCCTTTACAGAAAGTTAAAAAAAAACACATAAAACTAATCCATGGTTTTAGAAGTCAGAATAGTGGTTACCCTTAGGATGCACTATTGACTAGATGGGCACATGGGGGAAGCTTCCAATGTGCTGTTCATGTTTTGTTCCTTACTCACTTTGTGAAAATTTATTGAGCTGAACACTTAGGATTTGTTCACTATTCTGTGTATATGGTATACTTCTACAAAGATTTACCAAAAGTTCTCAATAACGAGTTAGGGAAATGGGAGATGAGTAAAGGAAACCAATCCTCCTGCTGATCTGGAGAAGCTGGACAAAACATAGATTTTCATTTCCCTGAAGGCATTAGAGGGCTAACAAGATGGTGAAGAATACCTGGTTCAGAATAGGAGTGGGAAAAGTTGAGCTTAATGTTACGGCCACTTTTCCCAATGGCGCATATGCAGTTATTGAGGGAACTACTGAGAGGCTATGTAGAATTTTGGGTAGCCTTGGGGGACTAGGGAGACAGGTACTGGAATCCAAATCTTGCCAAGAGGTATACCCGGTAAACCCTAAAATCTTTGGATTGTGATGCTGAAAGAGCTGCGCCTCAGAGTTAGAGTGAAGGAGACATAGACAGGCTTTTTTTTATTTTTTAACATCTTTATTAGAGTATAATTGCTTTACAATGGTGTGTTAGTTTCTGCTTTATAACAAAGTGAATCAGTTATACATATACATATATCCCCATATCTCTTCCCTCTTGCGACTCCTTCCCTACCACCCTCCCTATCCCACCCCTCTAGGTGGTCACAAAGCACCGAGCTGATCTCCCTGTGCTATGTGGCTGCTTCCCACTAGCTATCTATTTTACGTTTGGTAGTGTATATATGTCCATGCCACCTCTCACTTTGTCCCAGTTTACCCTTCCCCCTTCCCGTGTCCTCAAGTCCATTCTCTAGTAGGTCTACATCTTTATTCCCGTCTTGCCCCTAGGTTCTTCATGACCATAGGGTCTGTCATACAGAGTGAAGTAAGTCAGAAAGACAAAAACAAATACCATAAGCTAATACATATATATGGAATCTAAAAAAAAAAAAAGGTCATGTAGACAGGCTTTTACAAGGACTTCAGTTTAACTTTAAGTAATCCCAACCATTGGAAATTGGATTAAGGTAATTCCAGAGTGCTAATGCCTCTAGGTGCCTTGCAGAGACAAATACAAATTCTCTTCAGAGAGAAACAATATCGGCCTCAAATTTTTTCTGAAGTTTCGTAAAATACTATATCTAGCACACAATAGAAAACAACCAAGTACACAAGAAGACAAGACAAAATTAACAAAAGTCATCGGAAATGACACACAATAGAAAAAGACACATCAGGGCTTCAGATATTAGAGTTATCAGACATATCAGACATAGATTTAAAATAAATATGCTTACTATGCTTAAGGAGATAAAGGACAATATAGAGAATTTCTGCAGATAAATGGAAACTATTAAAAAGTATAAAACAAATTCTAGACCTGAAAAATAGAATAATCTCAATTAAGAACTGAATGGAAGGATTTAACAGCAGAGTACATATAGGTGAAGAGAAAATTATTGAACAGGAAGGTAGGTTGGAAGAAACTATCCAGAAAAAATGCCAGAGTCACAAAAGGATGAAAACATTGAGTGGCTAAGAGACAGAGAATACAGAAAGATTTCAAGTAACATATGTATACTTGAAATCCAGGAAGAGAAGAGAATGAAGAGAGGAGAGAATGAATGAGGCAGAAGTAATATCTGAGGAAATAATGGTTGACAATTTTCTGAAACTTTCCAAAATGTCAAGCTACATATTCAAGAAGCCATTCAAATCTCAAGTATGATAAAATTTAGGATTAGAAGATGTGGTATATATCATGATTTCATATATACTTATTTTGTATATTACCACTGAACTCTCTTATAGTTCTTATAGTTTTATATCTTTTTCAGTAGCTAATTATGTAATATGCAATATGTGGCATAAATGTTGCAAGTACTTTCTCCAGGGTCAGTGTCAGAAATCATTAATTGGTCGTCTGATCGAGGCTAGGTGCAATAAATCCTTCTCAAGCTGCACTCTGTTGGGAGACAATTCTCTGTGGCTTTGTCATGTGCCTGCACATATTCTGAGTAAGGCACTCACTGCCCATTGTTCTGAACTATCTTTTCAAGGTTGTATAGCAAACAGCCTTGGAAGATAGAGATAGTGTCTCCCTCATGAGCAAAGGTAAGATTTGCTAGTAAGGATAAAAGACTCAGATTCTTTAAGCTCAGAGTTCTTCTGTGACACATCTCATTGTGTGTGTTGGTGTCATCTGGCTCTCTTCATATCACCAGCTGGGAAATGGGATCCAGGAACTGGTGTAAAAATGCTGATACTCTGGCTACTGCTATTGATGTGAGTAATAAATTGTCTTTCATCTCTGAAAAAAAAAAGATGTGGTATATAAAGCAAAAAATGGACAGAACTATAAGAAATAATAGAGGTGCCCAATCATAGTGGGAGATTTTAAAATATCTTTTTTTGTAGATGACAGAATAAGCATATAAAAATAGCAGAAATATAGAAGATTTGAACAGATTAGCAAATATGATTCAATTAGTTCAATCCCTAATTGGTATAAAACTACACTCAACAATCACAAAAGTTTCATTCAAAAAAACATATGGAACATACACAAGGTATACCTCATTTTATTGTACTTCCCTTTATTGCACTTCGCAGATACTACATATTTTACAAATTGAAGGTTTGTAGCAACCCTGCGTCAAGTCTATCGGTACAATTTTTCCAATAACATTTGCTCACTACATGTCTCTGTGTCACATTTTGGTAATTCTCACAATATTTCAAAGTTTTTCATTATCATTATATTTGTTATGCTGATCTGTGATCAGTGATCTTTGATGTTATTATTGCAAAAAGAGTACAACTCGCTGAAAGCTCAGATGACAGAATTTTTAGCAATAAAGTATTTTAAATTAAGGTATGTACATTATTTTTTAGACATAATTCTATTGCACACTTAATAGACTACGATACTGTACGCATAACTTTTATAGGCACTGGGAAACTAAAATATTCATGTGATTCACTTTATTGTGATATTCACTTTGTTGTGGTGATCTGGAACTGAAACCACAATATATCTGAGGTATGTCTGTATCAAAA